TTAAGGAAGTACCAAACTGCCTTCCAGAGTGGTTGTACCATTGTACTCTCCCACCAAAAAATGTAAAAGAGTCCCTATCTCACCACATCTTCTCCAACATTTATTGCTTGTTGTTCTGTTAAACTTTGCTACTGCTACTGGAGATGGTATCTCATTGTGTTCTTTATTTGCATCTCTCTTATTGCCAGTGATTTTGAGCATTTCTTCATGTGTCTGTTGGCCCTTCAAGTATCTTCTTCTGAGAAAATTCTTTCCATGACCTTTGCTCATTTTGTAATTGGGTTATCAGTCTTTTTCTTGTGGAGGCCCAGGAGTATTCTGTAAACTTTTGTTAAGAGATTCTTGTTTGAGCTTGTATTGGCAAAAATGTTTGTTCCCAGTCCATAGGTTTTCTTTTCACCCTGATGGAAAAAGTTTATGTGAACAGGGATTTAATCTTTAGAAGGTCCCACTTATCAATTTTATCTGCTTTAGATTGTGTATTTGACAGTTTCTTTATATTGTAGACTAGGGCTTCTAAACTTGATCCCAGTTAGTCTCTTATGAACATTATGGTTTTAGCCTTTACTCCCAGGTCTGTGATCCATCTTGAGTTGATTTTTGTGTGTGATGTGAGATGTAGACCCTGTTTCAGCTTTCTGCAGGTGGCAGTTCAGTTTTTCCAGGACCATATGTTAAAGAGATTGTCATTTCCTCATTTGATAGGTTTTATTTCCGTGTCAACTATCAGTTCACTATATCTAGGTCTCCCTCTCCAAGGACCCGTCCCTCCTGGCAACATGTCCAAAGTATGTCAGACGAAGCCCCAGAATCCTTGCCTCCAAGGAGTAGCTTGGTTTAATCCTCTCCAAGACAAATCTGTTTGTTTTCCTGGCAGTCCAGGGTACATTCAGTACCCTTCTCCAGCACCACAGCTCAAAAGCATCCACTCTCCTTCTGTCCTCCCTAGTCATTGTCCAACTCTCTGATGCATAACAAGCAATTGCAAATACCATGACCTGTATCAGGCGCACCTTAGTCTCCAGAGAGACACTGTTGCTCCTGAGTGCCTTAGAGAGGTCCCTAACAGCAGACTTTCCCATCGTGATACGCTTTTTGATTTCCTGACTGCTGGTGCCAAGAGTGTTGACTGTGGAGCCGAGCAAACTGAAGCTGTGAACACTCTCAATCTCTTCGTCATCCATCCTGATGCTGCCAATTGGTCCAGTGGCGAGAATCTTTGTCTTCTTGACATTGAGCCTCAGTCCATACTGAAGGCTGCAGTCCTTGACCCTTTGCAGCAAGTGCATGAGGTCCTCCTCAGTTTCAGCAAGCAGGGTTGTGTCATCTGCATAACGGAGATTGTATAGACCTTCCACCAATCCTGATGCCACAATTCTCCTCATAGAGCCCAGCCTCTCGGATAATCTGCTCTGCATACATGTTGAAAAGGTATGGAGACAGGATGCATCCCTGGCGTACACCCTTCCCAATTTTGAACCATGCAGTGTTACCCTGCTCTGTTCTGACTACTGCCTCTTGGTCCAAGTATAGGTTTTGTATTAGCACAATTAAATGTTCTGGGATTCCCATTCTTCTCAGAGTCAGCCACAGTTTGTTATGATCCACACAGTCAAATGCCTTTGCATAATCAATGAAACACAGATAGACATTCTTCTGGTATTCTCTGCTTTCAGCCAAGATCCATCTAACATCAGCAACAATATCCCTAGTACCACGACCCCTTCTAAACCCAGCCTGGACTTCCAGCAGTTCTCTGCTGATGTGCTCTTCTAATCGTTTTTGGATGATCTTCAGCAGAATCTTGCTTGCATGTGAAATCAATGACACTGTTCTGTAGTTTCCACACTCAGTTGGGTCACCTTTCTTTGGAATGGGAACAAATATAGATCTCTTCCAGTCAGTTGGAGGGGAAGACCCTCTATGAGGTGGATTGATTCGGTGACTGGGCTAATCGGGATGGGTGTGTCAGAGGCGGTGCGGTTGGCGCAGGATAGAGCAGGGTTTAGGGCTGTTGTGCATAGGGTCGCTATGAGTCAGAAACGACTCGACGGCACATAACAACAACAACAACAACAACAACAACAACATATCTAGGTCTATGTTTGAGTTCTCAGTTCTGTTCCGTTGGTCTATGTGCCCGTCATTGTACCAGTACCATGCTGCTATGGTTCCTAATGCTGTGTAAAAGGTTTTGAGGTCAGGGAGTGCTATGCCTCCCACTTCATTGTTGTTTATCAGAAGTGTTTTGTTCATTCACGGTCTCTTGCCTCGTTAAATAAACTTGACAATTTCCCTTTCAGTCTCCTTGAAAAATGAACTTGGTGTCTGGATTGAGACCTTTATGGGAGGAGATGACCTATCTTTTTCCTGAAGAGCAGCTGGTAGATTTGAACTACCAACTTGAAAAAAAAAAGAAAAGAAAATACTTTCTTTTCTTTTTTCCCCATTGTTGCATATTTTCTTCCTGCCTTCCCTCCTCCCTTCCCAGCCTTACCTGCAATGCACCTCTTGTTTCAAATTGTTGTCGTACATATAATACATATAATACCTAATCATATCATTCAGACAGTTCTTCTCCTCACCTAATATAATGCAGTAATCATTATCTATCCACTCTTTTCCCATTCTCTCCTCAATCCCCCAATGTGTGTCCTATTTTATAACAGTTGTTAACAGACCAATAATAACTTTAAAGAGGAGTGAAATTGACCTGTTTAAAGGGAAGCACTTTCCCCTTTAGTCTGAGTGTTAATTCTTTTAACATAAAGAAATATTATTAATTGTACTAAAATTATTTAAAACCGATTCCACTCATTGTCATCCAGTAGAAAACAAATCCTAGCTGGTTCTCCATTGGGCTTCTGAGGCTGTAGATTGCATGGGAAGAGATTCTCTATCTTTCTTCTTCTGAGCCACTGATAGATTTGAGCCATGACATGACATTTATGTTAGCAACACAATTCCCCATGGACTATGCCCTCAGAACTCCATACATTATTTTTAAAAAAGTCCTGTTTCTAGTCCTGTGCACCTCAAACCATCATCAGAATATTTTTCTCTAGGTGACCTGTTGCCAACTAACGAATCTCTAGGTGGTACAAACCTTTCACAATCAGATGTTTGAACTCAGCACTGCCAGTGAAAAAAGCTTTGTGATTTGCTACCATAAATATTCTTGGTGTGGTGCACTCTCAAGTCTGAATGGACCCATAGTTGACCCTCCAGCATATTTCCAGAGGCAGTTAATAGCACAGGAAAAGATCCACCATCTTTCCCACATGAAATAGCTCTGGATTCAAACCATGTGCCTTCAGGATTGCAGTGTAGATTCTTACCACTAGGCCTCCAAAGCTGTTAGCAATTGCAACCAAGAAAACTCTGTTGAGCTCTGTCTCATTCTACAACGAATTGGCATTGCCATGAATTGGTATGAACAACAGGTTTTGATTTTCCTTTCTTTCAGTCTTTTTGCATTTTGGGTGTCTTCTTTGACCATAGATATACAATCATTAGATCTGGGCTGGGGGCTTGAGATTCTCCATTCATCAGAGCCTCCTAGGTGTGCAGATGCTTCTGAACTGTGGGCCATAGTTGCTTTTCAGTCATCCTCTTTAAAAAGGAATTGGTGTTTCTGTTCTAGTCTTTAGAGTGCCAGTTCTCAGCTGGATATAATTTTGACCCTAGAAGAAATGTGGCAGTGTCTGGAGACATTTCGCTCATCACAGCTCAGAGAGTTGTTACTGACGTCCAAGGGATCACGGCCAGCGATGCTTTCTAAACACCCTACATTACAGTCAGCCAGTGTCAGAGAGCTGATCCTAGCCAGTCAGATCTCTAAGGTATTACAATCATATTCCTCCCAAGAACAAGGAATCTTCTGACTCAATCTGTTAATCATGGCTTGGTTAGGAACCCCTTCCGTGGATGTCCATTTCCGTCATTTCTCATTTCAACAAGTCTGTTAACTACTCATCTGTATGAGTGACTGACTGAATGGGAAATCTATTTGCTCTGCAAACTGTCGCTCAACGCCTAATAAGAAATTCTTTTAAAAAACAAATTGTTGGAAATGCTCAAAAGAAAATGAAACCTATGAGAAAAGAGTAGGAGTATTATACTATTGAATTCGGAGTAGAGAGCCACCAGTGTTTAAAATGGTCTTCAAATACATGAAAGGTTATTATGCAGAAGATGGCAACCAGCTGTTCTCCAACATCCTTTGAGAAGGAAAAGGAAATGTATGTAAAGATTCCTAAGTTACTCATTTATTCCTGTGTGTCCTCCGTGCCAACCAGTCAAATCTCTATGATTATATAACCAAGTTACCCATCTTGGATCTTACTAAACTAACAGAGACCCTCTAAAATCTTTGGGACACAATTTCTTACCCCTGAAAATTCACATTTCCCTATCCTTATTAAAAATTCCTATTTTAAAAATTTTCACTTCCAAGAGTGCTGGTTTTTTGTTTTTTTTTTAACTAAAGTGAACTGGTTGTTGCCAGTTCATCTCAGATTACAACTTGTGTACCTCCTGCTTCAACGTGCTGTCTTTCTCTCAACAAATAGGTCATTGCCCATCTGTGGGCAGGGCCTTGACTTTGCTTTGGCAAGGGATAAAAAAGATGAGTCAGAGCTTCGCTACTCTTCTCAGTCTAGGAAGAAAGTCTGGCACAGTTACTGAAAATTTAGCTAGTATATGCTAATTAACTTCCATGAGAGATTTTAAAAAAGATAAAGTTTTAAAATTTAGGGAGGGAAAATGTTATTTCCAAGCATAGGAGAGCAAGGGAGAGTTTATAAATGTGTAAGCATGGGTATCTTTTTGTTGTTGTTTTCTTAAAGAATACATGTTCTCTGAGTTCTGCACAGTCCTGGTAATCAAGGCAATTAAATAAACAATAAGGTTGCCTAGTTTTGAGCATTATGTATTATAGTGGTCTGAATTTTAAACTGCATTTACGGAAAGAGCTCTGCTTTGAAACACACAGAGTAGCCATGTATCCGAATCTACTGATTGACAATTGGTTTGGTTTGACTACGGTCGGTAATGTTAAGGGGCTGGTGTTATTAAATCCATTCATGATACGTTTCATTACCACTAGGAGAGAGAATATTTCAAGAACTATGTGGCTACAAGGTGGTTTTAGAAAAAAAAGTAGAAATTAGTCATCTTTGAGTGTATCTTGGGGAGCTTTGGTGGTCCATTCCATATTGAATTGTGCTGCTACCCTAAAGGTCATGGCTCTCTGGAAGATCATACCCACAAGTGCTTCAGTGAGATGAAGATGACCAGTCTCCTCCCATACAATTTACAGCTTCAGAAACCAAGCTTTGAGTCGGTTCTGACTGACAGCAATGTGAGACACACACAGACACAGACACAGAGGTACCTCTGTGCATTTCTGAAGAAGTGCTCTTCAGAAGAATTATTAATTTGTTATTAAAGTGGCCTTTATAAAACAGATCCAAAAATGAAATTTGATTCTATTCATTTGAAAGAAGGATTCCATGACCCAGTTACTTATAGAGGGTTACCGTTACCTGAACTCTGAAGAAACAGAGGAGGATAAACCCACGGAATCTCTGGTGTGTGCCAGGGATATGCTCCTGTAAGCATATCATCTGATTTCATCTCCACAGCTAACTATGAGGTTTGCACGACCAGAAACATTGGAAGAAGGCTTTAGTGAACTCATGTAAACTTCTACTACTCACTACTTGATTTAAGAAGTGAAGCAGAAAAGGACAAATATTGTATGGTGCCACTGCTGTAAAATGGGACTGATATCAGTGTGGGGGTAAGACTGAAAAAAAAAAAACTGGATAAATTGTGTATACTGCACTGAAACAGATGAGGAACTGAATAATTTAAAAGTGATGTATGATAGGGTATTATGGTTATCACAAGAGTCCACAATTAAGGTTGCAGAGTGGAATGTACTTGGGGCAGTGGGAGGGGTGTGTGGGGGATTGTGTACCAGGGAGGGGGTCTTTCTTTTACTTTTGAAAGAGAGGAGTGAACTGGGGGGTGGGGGGAGAGGCCTGGGCGGATAGAGAAGTGCAGCAATGAATGAGTGGAAATCCAAATTCTCTGTAAATGTTCATTAAAATTATTTTTTTAAAAAGTGAAGCAGAGCAAATCTCAAGCAGGCAACCTTGCTGAGTGGAGACAAGGGACTTGCCATCCTTTCCCTTTGGAAGTATCTTCTCTAGAGGCTGTAAGTTTGACAAGTAATGTTTGCATTCTATCTAGTCAAACTGCAGAGTGAAACTGTTTGCATTCAATTAATAACTGTGATTCGTTAGGGCAATTCTCTCCTGGAAAACTGTCTGCATCCGCATGAGTCAGAAATGAGCGTGAGCTTCTGCCAACTCTTTCCCGCACATTCTGAAGCCTTTAGTTCTGGGAATGGTACAGACACTAAATTATTGTGGAGTTTTGTTTGAACATTAATGCTTGTGTGCTTTGAAGCCAGTATGCTGATTTTTCAGTCTGTAATAAATATAATATCACTGGCCTTTTTTAGAGTTCTCATTCTTGGAACATTTTATCAAGATCACCACTTTCACGGGTAGCTTCTAGAACACCTTTCACAATTCAAATGTGGTGAAACCTTGCTTCACTTTCTGTATAACTGAACTCTCTTTTCCCTTTCAGCTGTTCTAGGCGTCTGCTTATCATTCAACATTGATGTGAAAAACTCAATGAGTTTCAGCGGTCCAGTGGAGGACATGTTTGGATACACTGTTCAACAGTATGAAAACGAAGAGGGGAAATGGTGAGTTGGTGAATTGTGCTATTGGGTAGTTATAAAATAATGAAAAATACTATTATTGTTGTTATTGATAGCTGTCGAGTCAAGCAGTACTCATGTTGACCCTATGAGCAAAAGGCCTGAAGCCTTGCTATAACTATTGTCGTTTATCAAAGTTCCTAGAGTTTCCAGAAGCAGTTGTTTAGGAAGTATATGCCACTCCTGTTTCCAAACGTGTCTTAAACTGGGAGCTCCACCAAAAACTGTCTGCCATGAGTAACCATTATGGCATTTGACACCCCAATGGCACAAGGTTCAGCATCACAGCAACCCCAGGTTACATCAGTACAGCAAATTGACAGAAGAGTGCCGCATCACTTTGAAGAATGATCCTCCAAAATAAAGTAACAATCGACTTTTGGATACAAAGGCCCTCCTCAGGTCTTGTTGACTCAAATCTATGACCTATAGAGACCCTGTGTATAGCAGCTCTGAACCCTTCCCTGTCCTGAGCGAGTCTCACTAATTCCAACACACCAACCCCCATTGCCCCAGTCACTGTATCAATCCATCTCATCCAGGATCTTCCTCTCCTGCACTGTCCCTCCACTCTTCTGAGTGTGATGTTCTTTCTTCTCCAAGGACTAGTCTCTCCAGGGCATGCACCCAAAGTATGTGGGGTGGAGCTTCAAAATATTATTAGTGTACAGTTTATTTTATGAATGAGTCTACAACAGAATGAAACATTTATGGTAGACAGTCATCTCATTTATAGTAGAAACTCAGTAGTGAAAAAAGAAAACTGACAATATTGGCCTTGACAGTATTACTTTAATTTAAAAGTATTTGTGTCTGTTGAAACGTTGATTGACTTTAAGAAAAGTCTTTACCAAAAATAATTACTATTTACTAAATATGCTATTCTGACTGAATTTTTTAATTGTTCTCATCTTATTGACCTACTGGATTTGTTCCAAAGTCAATGGATTTTATAAATTTTTAAATACTAAAATCGACTAAGTTTCTTTTAAGGATGATTTTAAAACTTTACTTAGCTTGTTGCAAATGAAACAAAATGAATATCAGAGTTGTTTTGCTTTATATTTAACATGAATTTTAATGTGATTTTCTTTTCCTCTTTGGTAATTACATCTTATAGGAAAAGCAAACAAATAAGATTTATACTTGTCTTCAGTTTAAAGGCTTAATTAAAACATAATCATTTTTCTAGTAATGACATTATTGGACAAAAATTAATATATATCTACTTGAATAATATTAAGCAATAACTTACTATAATTATTTCACAGATGAAAGATGTATTTTTCTATATTCTAGTTTATCTTTAAGCTTGATTAATTTCATTCTAATTCCTCAGACCTTTAAAAGGTCTTTAAGAGTTTGAATATTAACATATTTTAAACAGGAATTATGTAATATTTTATATAACTCAGATATGAACCAAAATGTGATCCTTTTATATTATAGATAAGGAATCACAGAATATGATTTTTAAGACTATTTTTTTATATTGGTTTGTGTACAAAATTCATATGCATTACGTTTCATACCTTCCTTAATTCACATGGTGTTTCTTATAGGGTCACACAATTCAATGGGTGGAGGGAGGGGTGGTAAAGTAAATGAGGAAGATCTGCTGGGGACCTGAAAAGACAGGGTAATGGTGGGCATAATTCATTGGGGATTAAGTTTATAAAACATAATGTGTGGGAATGATACATCATAAGAAAATGAAATGTTTACATTTTTTTGACCTTTTATTCTCTTTCATTCTTTCCTTCTCCCTTGAGATTAAGTTAGGACTAGACCTTTATATGCAACTTTGACTCTTTCAATCATTACATTTGCCCTGTCTCTGAAAGAAAGTGAACGGTCCATGGGTTAGGCTGCACATCATGTATAAACTATAGTAAACTGAAAAACTGAAGCGTAGTAATAATCCATAACATCGTTTAAAGATCACATTTTATACAAAACCCCAGAACAGTATCTGAAAGATGGAGAATCAACTAACAATCAAGAGTAATAAAGGGAAGAGGCCTGAGGCTACATTGGGAACAATTAAACCACAAAATAAATTTACTTATGATGTCGTTTTTGTTAGATGCTGTTGAGGCAAATATGACTCACAGTGACCCTGTGAAGAAAAGATCTGAACCCTATGCTATTCTGTGCTATCATCACAGTCTGACTAACTCAAGCTTATTACTGCAGTCACTGTATCAATCTTCCTGATTGAGGATATCTTCCTCTCCTTCATTGTCCCTTTTTTTCTCTCCAAGCATGATGTCCCTCTCCCAAGGAAATAGCCTCTCCTAGCAACATGCTCAAAATATGTGAGATGAAGCTTTACCATCTTTCCCTCCAAGAAGCACTCTGACTGCACCTTCTCTAAGAAATATCTATTTGTTCTTTTGGCAGTCTATGGGATATTCAGTACCCTTCTCCAGCACCACAACTCAAAGGTATCAATTCTTCTTCTGTCATCCTTAGTTATTGCTCAGGTCTCAGATGCATAATAAGTGACTGAAAAATTGTTAAGTCATGATGAAAGGTTGGAAGTGGCAAATGCGAGTAATTCTAAATTTTCTAGAATCGATCTGTAAAAAGCATGTAGGTAGCAGGGGGATGGCTGTATCTAACTTCTGCAAACTCTGCAAAAGGGATCTGTCCTCATTAACAACATCCACAGAACAAAAAACCACATCCTGTAAGATCGGACATGATTTCCCATGCTCCCACATCTACTTCTACTAATTCCAACACTGGTGTTGCACTGCACAGATCTCACAAAGCTACTCTGTAGTTATAGGGTACTTAGGGAAGTTAACCTGTTACAATACAGACTGGCAACAGTGTACCATTCTCATGTTACAAATTTTTTTAGTCCTGAGAGGATATTTTTCTTCAGTCTTTCAGTAAGCTTAGGTGAAGGTGGCTCTGGTTCCATAGGGCAATGATCCCAAGTCCTCTCTGTTGCATGTTGATCTCTTGTTCTCTTCTGAGGCTGTTGTGTCTCTCATGTAGCTCCCAGTCTGAGTAACACTGGGATATTTGGTCCCAAAGGATGTTTACTGCACTTTCTGCTTCTTCTTCTTTGCTCATAGTGAGACCCCCACTTTTGCTGGTAAATCTGCTCAATGTAATTCAGTAGGATGGGTAAAACGGACTAATCACATACTAACTTTATACACACTGTTTGAAATTCACTCCCACTTGTGGTGAAAGTAAAAATCTATGGCTAGCAAAGCCATTTTGAACAATACATCCTTGACACCACAGGGTCATTTGGCAAATGGTTGTCACTGACAAATAATATATATTCACTCACTCTTTGCCACTGAGTGAACCTCAATTCATAGCTGACCCTCCAGTAGATTTTCTGAAGCTGTAAATTGCAGGGAAGGAGATTATCTGTTTTCTTCCACAGTTGGTGGATTCAAACTGATGGTCTTCAAACTGCTTGCCCTTGGGTTGGCAGAACAACTTGCTATCTTCCAGGCCATCAGAACTTCATTTGCGCACACACACATACACACAGAGGAAAATTTATTTTCTCAAGAATTTTTTTCCCCCTCAAGAATTTAATAATCTAGTTTTGGATAACTTGAGTTCAAGGTTACTTCTGCCAATACCCTTGTCACTGAGTCCATTCAGATCCACAGAACCATTCTATTGAGCTTCCAAGACTGTAAAATTTGACAAGAGTGTGTTTCTTATCTTCCTTCTACAGAGTAACTGGTGGGGTTAAACTACAGCTTTTCAGTTAGCAGCCTGACACATTACATTCTACATTACCAGGAGTGCTTAGGTAATGTCTAAATAGTGGAAAATGTCAAACTAAAATTCAGAGAAAAGTTGTTAGGTGACATTGAGTCAAGTACAACCCATAGGGACTGTGAAAGCAGATCGGAACACTTACCTGTCCTGTGCCACCCTCACACTTCCTGACACCTAGAGCTCATTGCATCTCATGTCAGTACACCTGGCTTAGGGTCTTCCTCTCCTACACTGACCCTCTGCCTTTCTGAGCTTCATGTCTTTCTCCAAGGAGTAACACCTTTAGCAACATGCCTGAAGCATGTGAGGCAAAGCTTTATCATCTTTGTCACCAAAGAGCACTCTGGCTGCACTTTCTTCAAAACATATTTGTTTGTTTGACAGACCATGGGGTGTTCAAGACTCGTTTCCGGTACTACAGCTCTAAGGCTTCAATCCGTCTGCATCCTCATTCATTGTCCAGCTCTCAGATACATAGGAAGTGATTAGAAAAACCATGACCTGAATCAGACACACCTTAGTCCCCAAACTGACATTATTGCATGTCTACCTGTGTTTTATTGATTATGCAAAGATATTTGACTGTGTAGACCAGAAAAGATTGTGGCTAACCATGAAAGTGGAAATCACAGAGCACTTGTTTATGCTCATGTGAAACCTGTACTTGGGCAAGGAAGCAGTCATCCAAACAAAGCAAGGAAAAAATGCATGGTTTAAAATCAGAAAAGGAATATGTCTCCATACCTTTTTAATCTATACGCTGAACAGATTATTTGAAAGGTTGGGCTTTATGAGGAGGTAATATGGCATGAGGATCAGAGGAAGAGTAATCAACAACCTGCGTTATCCAGATGACACAACCTTGCTTGCTAAAACTGAGGAGGACTTGAAGAGTTTGTTACAGAAAGTCAAGGGCAGTAGTCTTGAATGTAAGTTGAAGCTCTACATCAAGAAAACAAAGATTCTTACTACTGGACCAATTTAAAGCACCAGTATAAAAGGGGAAGAGGTTGAGATTGCTAAGAATTTCTTAGTGGTAAGATGCAATCCATTTTGAAGGCTGTATTCTTTGATTGTCTGCAACAAATATTTCAAGTCCTCACTTTCAGCAAACAAGGTTGTGTTATCTGCATAATGCAGGTTATTAATGAGTCTTCCTCCGATCTTGATATCACATTCTTCTTCATAGGATCCAGCTTCTTGAATAATTTGCTCAGTAGCAA